TATAATATTTTTAGCGGTACAAATTATGGCACAAAATAAAGGTGACATTTCGTGATATCCATGCCTTTACTTTTATCAAAGATGATATTACCCCTATTTTGACTTTTAATTTGATGCATAATTTCATTGATACATCATGTTGTAGGGTAACTTATTGAAGGATACATTTTGGTATTGAAACACGGGGTATCAACTAGCGCAACGATTGTTTCTTTTATTTTCTTATTTTCATTTTTTTTAAAGTTTTGGACTATTATAACCATTATTTTAGTTTAAAATTTTCGATTTTTAAATTAGCAAATTTTGCTAAAAATCTGATTTTAACAAAATCAAACACGGTCTTAATAATATGCAAGAATGTGACACATACATATACACGAAAACGAACTTTGAGCTTGTAGCGCTGACATAAGTGTATTTCAGACAATATTGTGATACTACAGTATGATTTCCTCTTGAACACTAATGTTAAGAGTCTTGTTTGTAAGGACAATGCTGATGATCACTACCACTTCATCCTCAATCGTCACGGATTCAACTGGTTAGAAAAACATGTAGATAGCTTACCGCATAACAGAGAAAGAACGAGAGAAATTTTAACGAATTAAGAAAAAAACAAACCTAGAATTACAACCCCGAGCTTTGCATTATAATCTCCTACAGCCTGAATGAAGGTGAGAAAGCTTAGGGAAAGATATTGCATAAAACAGAATGAGAACATTGGTGGTCCTTATGTAAGAATTTTTTAATCAATAGATGAGCTTATATGTGTGAATAATTGTGTGTTAAATTATAGGTTATCGAATTCGGTTGAACCCAATTAAAGTGATCTAATAAGACTTCGGTTTTCGGTTTTAATGTATCCAATTAAAGTGTGTGTTATATATGTATAGAGATCGGGCCCAAATCCAAATTCTATGATGGACCGAATTAGGTCAAAGAGCATCGTTAGATAAATAGGTTATGGTCCCCAGATCACACGCATGTATTATTCATTTTCTACTGCATCCCATCACAGAGAGGAAAAAGAGACTGCATGTAGATTTGGAAGATTATACCGCGTAATTCATTATTAAATTAACCATGTCTAATTCAGGTACACTTCTGTTTTAATTCTTGCATTTCTTGATGATTTAACATGAAAGATCTAATTATTTAAAAGCATTAAATTATCCAACAAGTGGTATCAGAGCCTCTTCATGTTGAATCATTGAGAATCGAATAATTTAATTTGGTTCTTGCAATATATTTGAATTTTTTATATTTAACAATTTTGGATTTAATTTTTGTCGAATCTGAAAATTCTACTGCATGATATTCTTGATTATTTTCATAGATCTGGAATAAATCTTTGATATTCAGTTTGAGGAATTTAAGATTATAGATTTTGAGTTTAAAATTTTCTAGAATTTTCGATTTCCTATGGTTTTAAAAAATACAGATTTTTGTGATTCAGATTATGGATTCAGATTTAAAAAATAGATAAATAAATAAATTTAAGTTGTGTGCCTGGGTGGCAGCGCCGGCGGCAACACTACCGCATCTCAGCAGCGGCGTTGTTGCCGTTGTTGTGACACTGCTGTATGCTGCAGCGCCGGGGTGCTGCTACCATTTGTTAGTGGCGGCGCCCAATGAAGGAGAAGAAAGAAAATTTAGGGTTTCAATTTTTGGTAGAATTTGGGGGCGGGAGCTTCTTCTGTAAATTAGATAATTTGAGGCCCCTGCATGCAATTAGGGTTAGGGTTATAAAATTAAGGTTTTAGTCCCTAACCTTTAAGTTATATTAAGATTTGGGCCTTTAAATTTCGGATTTAATAATTCAGTCCCTAAGGTTTTAAAATTAATTAATTCGGGCCATTAAAGTTCTGAATTTTATAATTAAAGCACTCAAAATTAAATTATTAATTCAAATTGGCCCCCTAAGTTCATAATTAATTCAAATTGACCCTTAAAGTTTCAAATTTTTAAAATTTGATCCCTCAAATTTTGAATTGGTCAATTTTGGCCCTTAAAGTTTTAAAATTTATTCGAATTGATCCTCTAAAGTATTGAATTAATTAATTATGGTCCTTAAAGTTTCAAGTTTATTAACTTCAACCCCTAAAGTTTGGAATTAATTAATTTAGTCCTCCTTAAAGTTTTGAATTATTAATCCTAAGGCCCCTAAAGTTTAAAACTAAACAAAATATGCAAAATTGGTGATTCTCTTTCTCAAATTTTGGTACTAAGGACTCTTTTAAGAGATATAATATTCGAAAATTGGTTAATTGAAGGCAACCTCTCTTGTGAAAATTGACTAACTTAGAATATTGAGTTTGTGGATGTGTTATTCATGGGAATATTGGTCGGCCCAAAGGAAGGTCAATATTTAATCGAATACACTGTACCTATGGTGATAAACATGTGATGATTATTTGGTTTAATGTGTGATCAATAAATTGGTCCAAAGAAAGGTTTATTGATTGACACGTTGTTTTATCGTCAATGTTTGATCACTAAGCCAAGAGTACCGCTTACAAATCAATATCTCTATCCAAAGACTAGATATTGATATTGTGCTTGGTATCTTGTGATGGGCCCTACCACTATTTGAGATTATTATTATTATTATTTGCATATTAAAGGTATTCATGTGAGCTATTCATAATAAACGTTCTCTAATTCAGTTTCAGGTTCTGCTGCTAATATCTCTGCTAGCATCAATTCAATTTCAATGCTAAATAGCACAAACTTCAGGGCATGGCAAGAGAACGTGATGATTGTTCTCAGAGTCATGGACCTGGACCTTGCTTTACGGGTCGATCAACCTGCTGTACTTACTAATAAGAGTACCTCTAATGACAAGAGGGAGATGGAAAAGTGGGAACAATCGAACCGCATGAGCTTAATGGTTATGAAGCGTGCTATTCCAGAAGCATTCCGAGGCACTATGTCCGATAAGGTGACTACGGCTAAAGGTTTCCTTGAGGACCTTGAGAAGAGGATTGCCAAGAATGAAAAGGCTGAAACAAGTACACTTTTGGCAAATCTTGTCTCAATGAGGTATAAAGGAAAAAGAAACATTCCGGAGTACATTATGGAAATGTCTCACATTGCTTCAAAAATAAAGGCACTCAAGTTGGATTTATCTGAAGACTTGTTGGTGCACTTGGTTCTGATATCCCTTCCGGCACATTTCAGTCAATTCAAGGTGAGTTACAATTGTCAAAAGGACTCATGGTCCCTTAATGAGCTTATCTCACACTGTGTTCAGAAAGAGGAAAGACTAAAGCATGAGAAGACAGAAAGTACTCATTTGACCACCACCTCTAAGGCGAAAAGGAACAAGAAAAGGAAATTTAATAAGGAAGCTGCGGGTACGGCACCGCAAAAGAAACAGCATAAGGAACCAACTGAAGGTGGTTGTTTCTTCTGTGGAGCTGCAGGTCATAAGAAGAAGAATTGCACCAATTACCACACATGGCGTGTAAAGAAATGTACTCTTCTTCATTTGGTTTGTTTTGAGGTTAATTTAATTTCGGTACCTAGACATACATGGTGGATAGATTCTGGTGCAACAACTCACATCAGTATGTCTATGTAGGGTTGTCTGAGTTGCCGAAAACCAAGTGATGGTGAAAGACACATCTATGCTGGCGATGGCAATAAGGTGGAAGTAGAGGCAATGGGAAAATTTAGATTATTGTTAAAGACTGGATTTTATTTGGATCTTGTTGAGACATTTATTGCACCATCTTTTAGAAGGAATTTGATTTCTATTTCTGTTTTGGACAAATATGGTTATACTTGTTCATTTGGAAATGGAATATTTAGTTTGTTTCATGATTCAAAATTGGTCGGTTTCGGTTCTTTATCAGGTTACGATAATCTTTATTCAATTGATACAATTGCTTCTTATAATGAATCCCTACATGCAAGTACTTGAGTATAAAGCGAAAATTAAACGGCGAGAATTTTGCCTCGTTGTGGCACAA